TGGAGTACCGAATAAACTCTATTTCCGAGTTTTTACATCGCGTGCACCCTGGCTATTTACCCGTATAATAGCGTTCACATCTCCACCTAGAATCGTTACCCTCGCTTTGCGCTGAAAAGGAATTGACCGATTTAAAAAAAAAAAAAAAGCTAATGTGCAAATTTAAAGACAAGCAACAAAGACAACATTAGACACTGTTGTCTCAATCAAGGTCTCAATCACCAGTAAAGTTTGGTTTCAAAATAAAATCCGTTTTGCCCGTAAGTTGCAGTTGTCAATTTTGTGCTTTTCTTTAAAGTTAGTCTGAAAATTAACAAAATATATGTTCATTATGAAGTAAATAGTCGATTATTCATACTTTTCATTAGTAACTATTATTTCAAAATTTTAATAAAATACGTTTCTGACTATTGCGAAATATTTCATAAGCCACGGTCATTCCTAATCTTTAATATTCGTGTTGCAAGCTTTCTACAAGGAGGGAAACGATTTTATTGACGAGGAAGGATTGCAGGAAAGGACACGTCATGCGGCAGCATATCACGTTACTAAATTTAAACCGTGATACCATGGCTGGAAAATATAAACATCCTAGTGTCATGTTTTATCATCCAGCTGTATATTTTCAATTTACGTTTCGATTATCTTTGCTTTTCGGTAATCGAAGATCTAGCAGGAATATAACACGATAACACATTCAGTTTCCCCCAGGAATGGAAATGGGCATGTGTAATTTCTACCAAGCTGGTGACTGTAGGTTTTTTAAGTATATAATGCAGATTTTTTCCTATTTTTGATCTGCCTTGTCATTTTTCCTACGTTAATTATAGAAAGACGACAGGAACTTGATACTTAGTTTTATGATCATAGTCAATTTTATCAAACGGAATGTAATTTCCAAAGCAAATTATTGCTTTGAATTCCCATAATTTCCAAGTAGATGTATTAGTCGGGGTGTATATTATACTGCGCCCTTTAGGAGCTGTTGTGTCTCCCGTTCTGTGCTTATAGCACACCGGTGAGTCTTAGGTCATCAGGTAATTTCACTTGATTTCAGTGGTTGAATCTCTTCTACGGTTACATTGTATGTCCCAAAACACTTCCTACTGCGGACAGGCGTAGCACCAAAGTTAGTAGGCGGGTTGGCGTTTCCTCTGCTTCTTTGCAGAATCTGCATTTGCCGTGTTGTGCAATGCCAATCTTCTTCAGATGCCAATTTAGTTTGCAGCGCCCTGTGAAGAATCCTGTTAGGATTCGAAGTTTTTCCTGTTTCGTTTAACGCATTCTGTTACATTTTCCAAAATTTGCTAGGTACTTGGATTGTGTCCAATTAGAGAGTTGTTTCGTTTTCTTTTTATCCTTCTGTCTAAGGGGTTCATTGTTAGTGGGGATTTTTATGCCATAGAAGGGCTCTGGTCCTATCAGCGGTATAGCAGACCCTTTTCTTATAAAAGTGTCCGCTTTCTCGTTGCCTTCTACTCCCATATGTCCTAGGTCCCAGCAGAGGGTGACTGGTGATGGTGTGACTGCTTGGCTATCTGAAATGATGACTGTATTCTTGTTTTTGTACCCTTTGGTCAGATTTAATTGGCTACATCAATTGGATGGACTTCAGCCTGGTGTATTTTCCCCATGGATTCTGAGTATTTGGTACCGGGACCGAACACTCCTGCCCCGTACATTCTTACAATTTGGTATAATTTATACGCCCTTTAACGTAGGCGCCTTCTCTAAATTGACTATCATCACGACCGTTGCAGATGTTTTCTGCTGGACGACAAAAAAACTTCTTGTGTTAAAACAGTCCGAAGGATCCCGGACTAATGAGAAAGAAGAGTGAGAAAAATTGAAGAGAAAGTAAGACAACTGCTGCAACCAGGGGTCCTGTCAAAGAGAGTTGATTAGACACAATAAAATTTAAAGGATTTAATGACTAAATAGCCAATAAATTACAGGCAGGCGCCACCAATGACGACTGCTGTACGAGTTTGGACAACCGTTCTACTTTAAGGACTCACCCTAACCTTGACGAATTAGAAAGTAGAATGAGAATAAACTGTAGTTATAAATTAAAGTTAACATTTGCTATAAGTTTCTACAATTTTTGTGCTCTTTCGTCTTAAATCCTTAAATTATTATTGCAATTGATTCAATTCACTTTGGCGTCAAGGCAGATATTGTCTCACTCTTCTTTCTAATTAGCGAGAGGTTTTTGGTTTGACTGACTTTTCTTACAAGTAGAACGCCTTTCCTAAATATAAAAAGTTTATTATCTGCGGTGTTAAATCCTTAAGTTATTACTGCAATTGATTAAATTCGTCTAGGCCTGAGAACAATTAGTTCATAAATTTTTATTTCTGCGTATCTGTGGTTGGTCAGGGATATAAGAAGCAAAGCACAGTTTATTTAGGCCTATTTCATTTTTGTCCAATGTGACAGTAAACCTTTTCCCTTGGGAACAGCAAAGACCCAGCAACTTCACGTTTTACAAACCAGTAAAGGAAACAATTGGCAAAAATACGCACTGGTCGGTCAGGGGTATAATCAAGGAGAGGCAAGGCACGAATCATTTACGCGAGTTTTACTTGTGTCAAATATGAAGTTTTTTTACTTAAAAATCGCAGTAAAACTTCTCCCTGAAGACCTATAAAAGGAAAAAATTGGCAGAAATATGAAGTGGTAGGCCAGGGATATAAGGAGGGGTGGCAAAGTTCCGCCCATTATCGCGAATTTTACAACTGTCAAATATAGACTTTTTTTATATAAATCCCGCAGTAATCTGAATAGAACAATCAGGTTCAATACCTTCACGTTTTCCAAACCTAAAATGTAAACGATTGGTAAAAATATGGGGAGGTCGGTCAGGGTTATAAGCAGGGAGAGGCAAGGCACTGATTCGACCATTTATTTTTGAATATTAGAACACAATGTAACACCATCGAGAGAATAAGCGGGCCATGATGATCAGAGACCACTCAATAATCTTACATTTACGTATACACTGAGAGGCAGAAGGTGGCCACTCTCGTTTTTTTGTAACTATTTGCAATCGTTATCATTTTTAATTTTGTTGTTTGAAAAACGAAGAAAATATTTAATCCAGTATGGAGTATTTTCTCTTTTTGCGTTGATCACTGCTTGTATTCGACGTGGCATGGTTTTATGAGGTTTTGAATGTAGTGCTGTTAATGAATTGAAACCCGTTCCAAATAGTCACCAACAATCCGTGTGGTGCCTTGCATTGTCATGCATAAAATAAAACCGTCGCCAATTAGTGACATATAAGCAACAACTTCTTCGGATAACATATCTTCACTGTATGTTAGGGAACTCTCGATGAAGATCAAGTTTGTGCCATCTTCCATACAAATGCCTGCCCAAACCAAAACACCACCACATTGCTTCTCCGGAGTAATGTTGCAGAGATATATCGCTCTCCTCTTCTTCTCACAACACACTCTCGGCTGTCAGAAGACCGCAAAACAAAACCTTGACTCATCCGAAAAAAAGATTTTAGTCCAATCCTACTCAGGCCAATTGATGTGATTTCTTTTGAAGCTTAACCGAGTGTTCTGTGCCTTGACAGAAGTTCTGGACCAATGGCAGGCCTTCACGTAATCCAGCTTTTGAAAATGTTCTCCTTTCAGTGCGTAAACTGAAATTTCTAACTTGTTGAAGTCGTTGCTTGATCTCAACAGCGATAGAATGTCGATTATGGAGTATATTCGAAAAGTAAAACTATCATCTCTCTGAGATGTGACACGATGGCGACCTGATCCATGCCTTCTTGAGTAATCCTCAGTATCTTGGTAGCGATCGAACTTCGGACAGTCTTTCTGGGAATGTTAAACACCCTGGCCACATACGCTTGACTTCTTCCATCTTCTATGATTCTAATCCAATCTCTATATCATCATTCGACATTTAAAATGAAAGAAATCAAACCACCGGAACGTTAGTCTACTCGACGAGGTTTCAACACTCACTAATGGTACAAGCCGATAACAACAGTTAGGACACTCGCAGTAACAGCCTCGACCTCGCCTTCTCAGCAAAGCTGCACCACAGTACCTTCTTCCCTGCTGAGTCTACCGACTCAGTAACACAGACCACGGCCCCGGGACTTCAGCTAATGGATCTCTCGGTCACGGACTTCTACCACGGCATGCACTCCCAGTATCAACATCTGCTCGACACACTTCACAACAACACCAGCCATTGTCAGGGCCACCAAAACTCCCAGACACTATAATTTAGAAAGAAGCTTTACAGAAAAACCAACAATTCAAAGTTTTATTTACAAAATCGGATAAGAGACCTCTTACATTATTAATATCATTTGATTAATCCAGAGCGGCTGCCAGTGGGTAGCTATAACGCCCTTAATGCCAAAAACATAAATTGAAATCCAATCTGCTCCTTGTAATACATGAACAGTTCTAAAAAAAAATTACAAAATCCAATTGTAAGCACAAGAAATTGTATCTTTGTTTCATTTACCTCTAATCCTTTAAAACGGACCAAATATTATTGAAAGATAATCAACGGAGGCTTGCCTAAGAGATAATTTAAAATATTAAGGGTAGCCACTTTTATTGCTTCTCATGGTAGCCAATAGTTGGAACGACTTGACCTACAATTAAGACAGTTTTCCTTGGTTCCTTCGACCAATATTTAGCATATATGACGTGTTTGATATGATTTATACATTCTTCAGGCTTTAAATCCTCCAGTTATTGTTACAATTGATTGGATTCGACTGGACTTGACAATGGAGCTTTTGTTGTACCGGTTTGAGACTGATGGATGAGCTGCGAATTTTAAAGACAGGTCTGTCCAAAACGAGCTATTGATAGATCTACATTGATTGATGGCAAAAGTGTTTATAATTGAAATGGTCGAAATGGGAGGCTCGGAGGGCCAGGAGTCCGCCGTTGGTGTGAAAAGGCCGATCCCCGCCTCCATTGATTTCGTAGTGCGGAGGTAAAAGAGGTGACGGGGCGGGGCGTCGAGCAGTGACGTCGCGGTTATCGCAAGCGCAGGTTTACCTTCTACTCCAAGGTCAATCGGCAGCCTCTCGGTCTCGATGTCAGTCAGTCGCTGGGCGATACTTCGGTCGCCGCCACCACTGGAGGTAAAACAAAAACCAACGTCCAACGTGATATGATACCTGTCCCGGACCAGTGACTCGAAGAAGGCCCGTTTTGTTTTTATATCGCCGCGATGGACGAGCCTGGAAGCCAATTCGCTTCTGGAGACGTCTCCAACAGGAAGCCGTTCGTGAGAGTGCAGAACAACCAGAACGCCGTCGTCCAGCCTCTGCTGACCGGTGAGTCCGTTACAGGCCTCGTCGACTTTCTTTTCGACCTTTCTAATCCTTATTCTGCTAGATCTGTACCAGATCACGATGGCCTACGCCTACTGGAAGTCGGGACGAGTCAAAGACGTCGCAGTCTTCGATCTTTTCTTCAGACAGAATCCGTTCCAAGGGGAATTCACAATATTCGCCGGCCTGGAAGAGTGCCTTAAGTTTCTTCAGAACTTCCATTACTCGGATAGTGGTAAGAGAACCGTTGCACCTTCAACTCCCACCGGTGTGGTTTGCCTCATAAACAGTTGTAACAGTTGGAAGTTTAATCTTTTTAAAAAAGATAGTTCCTACTTACAGTTAGTTGTCTTAAACTACCAGATTTCAAGCTTATAGTTCATCATCAGGTTGAAGGAATTTACAGCCACATCTCTTGACATGAATTGTGATGTCGCCCCCGCCAATGCCTTATTCCAATGAGTAGCTGGTTTTTAATACCGCTCAATTATCAACAAAAAGCGATAATTACAACACAATTAAATATTATATTAATAAATACTCTAAGAAAATAATTATAAATTAGTGTTTAATTTTTTAAAAATAAATAATTAATTCATTTTATTTAAAAAGATTGAACAACACAGTTAATTCCAGCTCCACCATTTATCATGTCTGTTGGAAGTTTACAGTTTAATACTCCCACAGCCAACCAACCAATTACAAGAAAAAAAATTTTTAAATTTTACCATCATATTATATACTCACTCATCTAGAATGACTTGTTATTTTGAGAAGATTAATTAAAAAGTATAATTAATTGAAATAACATGGTGAATTATAACTGCTAAACATATACAGATTAATTTAATAATTAGAGAAGTAATTATTTTGCTAACAAGGCCACTTCATAAGGTGCTGAGAATCTAATCTTGACCAGGCACGATACAGTCGACTCTTGTTAATTCGAGATTCTTGATATTACAAACTCCAAAAAATCCAAATTAAATTGTTCTTTACTCATATCTTCCACTGCTTGGACCTTTTTTTGGTGGTAATATGCATTCCGAGATAAGCCTGGATTAACTATGGGTAGATTCTCAATGTTCCCTCAACTCAAGTTGCCCAGATCTTTTACTTCTGCCTCAGGGATGGCTGTAAACAAGTTTGAGCGAACCCAGTTGAAAAGAGGGTTGTAAAATTTTCTTTTTTCAGTCAAAACGAGGCAATTACTACTTTCTTTAAAGAAGTATTTGTCGTCTTTATTTGTATGTTCTTCTGTCCAGTTTGAGACATAAATAAAAACCAGGCTCAATTGAAATATTAAAATTATTTTCTTTTCTTTTACACTTTTTCAGTAATAAATTTAGGCTTGATATAGCTTGATCAACAGACTCGTCAAGACCTCCCAACTCTTCAATCTAGATTTTAGGATTTCACAATTATCTTTGAAGTATTTGATGATGTGGAATGTAGTCAAATAGTCCTTTTTTTTAAACAAAAAATACTACTTCACAATTAAGTTAACCTTTTCTTAAGTGAGTAATTTATTTATTTTATGGGAGGATATTTTATTATACAATCGACCCTTGTTAATTCGAATTTCTTAATAATACTAATTCCTCAGCAGGACACTTTGGTAAACGGAAAAACATTTTGTGTATTTTGATACACTCGGTAATATGAAATATTTTTTGTATCAGGGTGAGAAAAAGCATGCTATAAATTGAAATGGAGCCACTTCTCAGCTTTATAATTTGCACTTTCTCTTTGTTATATATGTTAATATTGTTTATTTCCTTACTGCTTAGTTTCTTCGAATTTTTTCAAGTTTGTAGTTTGGCAGTCAGTGTTGTCAATGTTTTCTCAGCATTAGTCATTTTGGAAAATCATTTTAACAAAGGACGCCAGTCCACATTGAAACAAAAAACAATTTTTTTAAATAATGCCTAATAATGTTCAATTTTACATTTAATTTATTTTCATTTTTTCATTATTTTTACTGTTTTATATATATGTACAATTTAAGTAATAATTTGGAAAAATGAATATCAACACTTAACAAGTTTTTCCTTTCCTCTTGTTGATAATTCGAATTATTTTTGATGTTCCTTGGTTTTCAAATTATCAGGTCGACTGTATTTGACAATAAGGCAAAAAGGATAAAATTCAAAAGATTATAAGTTGAGACTGAGTTGTTGAGAGTTGGTGGCTGAGTGGTTCGAAGTTATGATAGTTCAAGCGCTTAGAGCAGTGGCAGATTCAACTGGAAGTCGTGGGTTCGAATCCGTATGTGACACTAACTTTTTCATCTCAAGCGAGACCTTAGATAGAGAGTATAATTAATTGAAATAATTAACATGGTCAATTATGACTGCTAAACGTGTATTAAAATGGATTAATGATAAAGTAGAATTTAAGTGCAGGTGTATTGAAAAAACAAAACGAAAAGTTTATTTATATCTGTCTATATCTGCCAATTCACACTGCTCAACTTGTGAAGTTTGTCTTGGCTCAAATCATTGACATTGGATCTTTTTTTAAATTGATTATGGATATCAGGACGTGGAGTTCCCCAGCTTATTATACTCCTCAGTTTTATTTTGGGAGCTGTATGTAAATAGAGCCGGTGTTCTTCCATGAAAGAAACTCATTTGTGATGGAGGTTGGGGCCCGGTCTAACCCTGATCTTTCCAACTTTGATTGCGGCCAACACTCACCGTATGTGTCAAAAGAATCCAGACCACATATTTCACAAGTGAAGAGTATGTCACCTTAACAACTCGGATACTCCGGTCCCTCCCACATTGGTCATTCTGTGTTTATAAGTTTTATTCTTTTGCTGGACAGTATCCAGGTCATCATGATAGACTCTCGTCTTGTAGACCCTGCGGTTGTGGGTTCGATCCCATTGTTGCCTCTGGCCCTTTTTTCACCCCCCCCCCCCCAATGACATATATATGATGAAACAAATCCAGTACGTACTTCACCTAATAAGGCCATAAAAAAGTTCTATTTTTATTCATAGTGAGGAATTTTTTTATTATAAAAATAAGATGAGTGATGTGTTTATAAAGCGAGACAAACTGACTTGAGTCTGTGACAGCCCACTAGTTAGTACTAACTGTGAGTAGAAATTATCTTTATGAAAAGATTGAACAACAAACTCACTCCACCATTTATCATTTCTGTTTGTAACTCCTTCAACCTGATGACGAGCTTTAAAGCTGAAATCCAGATAGTTGTAAACAACAAACTGTGAGTAAGAACTATCTTTTGAAGAGATTAAACAACATTCTCACCCCACCTTTATCATTTCTACAAATCACTTAACTTCTAAATATAAATATTCATAACATACATATGTATATGTGTAGTGAAAATAAGGTAAATCGACTGGATATCATCAAGGTGTTGGTTTTAGATCAGGAATACGTTCATAAAGCTGAGAGTATTGTAACTTTTTTCCAAGCTTTCGACCTTTCTTTGTCTTTTTCAGGGCTCTAAAGACAGATACAACTCCATTATAAGTAGGCATACTATAAACAAATAGGTTAAGATAAAATCAACTCACTCATTACATTATCACAAATAAAATTGTTAAGATAAAACATAAATCAGTTAACACATTTTTTTACAATATATAACAAATCTAGGTTTGTAAGTATAACTAGATTGTTTCAAATTAAAATAAAATAAGGAAGGTAATAAAACATGAATCAAATGAAGCAACGCAAGCACCATTTAAAAAAAAGGTCGAAGGCTTGGGAAAAAAGATACAATATTCTCTTCTTTATGACCATCCCTGATCTAAAAAACAACTGGTATGTATATTTGATAATCTCCTGTATGACTGGTTTTTATACATTATTCGTTACACTTATATTACATGAACATTTAAGGCAAATTGGAAAGAAAACCTGAGTTTCTTCTTCTGAGGTGTTTTCTCTCCAATTGTACTTATCCCTTATCTTGTTTAATATACAATATATCGGATCATAATATCAATTATATCGGAGGTATAAATTTATACATGCAAAGTCAAAAAACTAGACTATCAGATTTTGTTGTTTATTTCAAACAGTATGTATTTTTAGTGTTATATTAATCGTAATATATTTATTTTAATGTAAACCAAATTAAACAAAATCAGAAATTTATGAATTTTCAATACAAGTTATTTAATTATGTTGTTTTGAAAGAAGATTCACCAAAATACAGGGAAATCATTTAGCGATAGAATAAATTGTTAGTTAAACTTTAATCTATCGTTAAATGATTTTCCAGTATTTTGGTGAATTTTTTTTTCAAATCATCATAATTTAATAATTTTTACTAAAACTCATGAAGTTCTGATCTCATTTAATTTGGTTTATGTTAAAATAAGTCTGTTGTAATTATATAATGATTAAAATACACATAGTTTATAAAAAACACTAAAATTCAAGTGCCAGGTTTTTATCTTTGAGTATATTTTATTATATTAAGATAATGTATTAGTTTAGATTTAATTGGTGTGAATTATGTATATATGTTCTGTCATGAATAAATCAATTTTATTTATTGATGACAGAACATATAGTCTCAAGGACCACTCATACATCTGTGATGTAAAGGAGAGAGAGAGAAACGTCTTTAGTGTACTATCTTGTGTTCAGTTTTTTTATTTAATTTCATTAACACAAATTTAAAAATGAAAATGGAGTAAAAATTTCGATAAAACGAGTTTTGTATTATATGCTTATTTGTACACTACTTAAATGCTTATGTCCTCCTTTGCAAGGCAGCCAGTTGAAATGGCCTTGTTTTCATCAGATCCAGACCTATAAAAAAAAGTTGATATTGCAGTCTCCTAATTACATCTGTTGATTTTTTTAATGACAATTAATTATAAAATCAGTAAGTTTTTATTATCTAGTTGAGAGCATAGACTTGCTTTTAAAAATATTATTTTAAATTATGTTTTTATTTACTAAATTCTCCATAGTAAAATATAAATGTATTTTGATTTTAGATATAAGTTACCTAAGGTCTACTTTACCTTCGTCAATAGAAGAGGAATTTTATGTGTTTTTGCAAGAATTGAATGCATGTAATGTAGTTGTAAATGCGATCGAAGAGGGTTCAGTCACATTCCCAAGGTATTTGATAATTTTATTATTTACTTGTAATAACTTCGTTCATTCGGTTTAATTGCAGGGTTCCGCTCATGCGGGTTGAAGGCCCATTGATAGTAGTTCAACTGTTAGAAACTACTTTACTCACGCTTGTTAATTTTGCCAGGTAAGATTTTTTTTGTTTGTTAAACCTTAAAGTTAAAACTAAAATAAATTCGTTTTCAGTCTTATGACAACGAATGCCGCCAGGTATCGTTTAGCAGCTGGAAAGAAAGTGAGACTTCTAGAATTCGGTCTTAGACGTGCACAAGGGCCAGACGGAGGTCTTTCAGCTTCCAAGTATGCTTATATAGGTAGGCGTTTTGTACATTTTTCATAAGTTGCAAATGAAGAATTCGAGGAAATATAGATACACATTTTTTAAAACTTAACCGACGTGAAATTGAAATTTAACTGTGCTTATTCAGCGACGATGACAGCAATTAATAATTTTGTTATCAAACTGATAATAAGCATGAAATGTTTAGATTATGATAAAAATTGTGGGTTCAATGGCACATAAAATGAAAAATATGTTTTACGATGTGAGACACATTAAAATTTTCTGAAAATATTCGTTTAAACTTCTGTTGGCTGAAATGTCTAATATATTTTTCCAGTTTACTTGCTCAAATCTGCTGGTTCTGCAATAAATTGATTTGTTACATCACCTTATTTTAAAAAGAAAATATTGATTCTTAAATTCTTAAAATAAATTATTTAGTTTAAGTTGCAATGTAGTTTTTATTGTTTTAATACTTGTAATTTTACAATGATTTAAAATCACAGAAAAGTTTATTTAAAATAGTTATCATTTCATGTTTAGAGCAGTCATGAAAATATTTGACATGTGCATGTCTATAATGAGTTTAGAAAGAAAAATATTGTCTAGCGCGGGTGGGTGTGATTTTAAGAAGTAACGCATTGCAGAATGAGGTGTCTAGAGGGCCATGTGTCAGCCAGTGCTTTGCACCAAATTTGTGGTGGTACGACGAGGAAGGGGGGGATATCGTGTTCTCTTCAACAAAAATCAAAACAGGTGGATATGAACTCTACCGTCAGTTTGGTGACCTTAATTCCCACCGATTATGCAAGGTTAAGGGCTGTGTGCGAAAAGGGGGAGCAGGCGCTTGGATACGCGGCTTTATTGATCAACCTTGGCCCATCTGTACCATCCCGTACCGTTCCTTCACACAGAATAAATGCACACAAGAAAAACTTAAATATCATTAATGAAAATGCTATGTCCCTTAACTTTAATTAACTCTGAACTCACGATGACTTTTCCTAAATTTATTGTTTCAGCAAATAGTTTAGTTTTAGTGGAACTAACTTTGGAATTCAAGACAAAAGACAAAATAAAATATAGAAATGATAATAAAACTATTACCAACAGAGTCTACATTGAAAGTGTAATGCAAATGTATATGTATATATATGGATGTACATACATTCACTCATAGGGATATATACATGTTTAAACTAACATGGCAAATATGATTACTGGACATACTAGCAACTCAGTCCCCATGGTGTCTTTTATATATACACACATCTTTATTAATCCATGTTTTATATTTGGTTTTTTTCTGATCATTTTGGTTAGTCTTATCACAATCTTCAGTGCTGCGTCAGGGTATAAGCAGGGAGGGCTACACAGTTGTTCCTCACATAACACGATTATTACATAACACTAATGACAGAATAAAGCATGAACCCCCAACTGAAGATGGCGAAATGCTGACCTAACAACGAGAGTAGGTAGACCTAAATGGTCGGAAAAGATGAAACTACAGGTTCATCACTGACTGATGAAATTATCACATGCTAATATTGCATTTATGGGATGTCCAGTGATTTCAGACCATGATCTTGTTGCCAGCTTTTTTTTGTGGAGTGTTGAATATATGTAAACATAAGATGATCATGAGATTTGGTCGTTATGGATCATTTTGATCTGCCTATCCTTGCTGGATCAATTTGTAATACATTTTTTGACTTTAAACTTATAGCACATTTACCGTATAATGTTTAATTATTTTTTTGTGTGGAGGGAGTTAAAGGTTTAAGTTAACACACCACATAAACATTATTTTCACTTTTCTGTACTGTCAAGATTGGAATAAACAAACAATCAATGCAAGTCAGCCACAAGACCTAAGTCTAAGGATGAACTTATTTGCAAACAGAACTTATCCCAAACGACACTCGCCAACACCAGCTTCCATATCCTCCAGCGTCTTCCAGTTTCTCCTTTCCATTGTTTCCTGGCCCCTCGACTGTTAACTCTATTTGTCTCGATTCAGTGGCAGTGTCCTTTCTGGTTCTGGCTGGAGGAGTCCTCTCACAGAGACCCCAACTGAGTGTAGCTGATTGATTGAGTCCCCAACTCTGGCTGACAGAGTCCATCCTCCTTTATGCTGTGTCCTAGGCACTCGACTGTCTACTCATCCTGTATCGGATTGCTCTTTGACAGTTGTCTGTATTCGACTCATCTTGGCTTTTGACAGTCAATGTCAGATCTAGACCAGGTGTCTTCATTCACTCTCTCTGACTCTGACCGATCTCTTTTGCTTTTCCATCCCCTTTTATATTGGCTGTTCCCTTCACCTCGTAATTCTAGGGGGGGGGGGCATTATGCAACCTGTGTTCCTTTGTCGATGTCCTTCCAGGGTAAAGTGTTCAAAGCCCATATGGATTTTTAGTGACCCTCGGCTTGATGAGCCTTGACATATACAATAACTTTCTCTCAATAAAAAGCTCTTAGTCTTTTTTGTTATTTATTTGAACTATTCACTTGTCGTATTTCTACACCCTCCAGGTTTTTGTGCAACATTTCTTTGTTCCCTACTGGATTGGCGAACTGTCAAATTTACAGCCTACATTAAAAAAAAAGACAGAGCTGACAATGCCTTCTTTAGTGTGTCCGACTGATCAACCCAATAAGATAGGACGACCAAATTGATCAGTTATGACCAACTTTCATGATCATGTTATGTTTCCATATATTTTATATATACATTTGATAGTGAAAAAAATTGACATTTTTATTTACTTTATCTGATATTGTTTAAAAAAAGTCCCAAAATACATTTTTACTTCTTTCATTTTTTTTTCTTTTTGAGGTCGGCGAACAGCAATGGTCATAGTCATTCTGTCATTATTGTAAACTTTTCAAGCTTAAATCGTTTGTAATTATTAACTTCCTGACCTGCTCAATATAATTTATTTTTTTAGAGTTCCAACTTGTGAAATATAACTAATGATTATGATTGATGATATCATCTGTATTTCTTTTTAATTTTTCATTGGATTTTTTTTTAATGGTTGCTTACGCCAAATTTATAAAACTATTGTAATTCTAAAGAAAGTAATTGGAAAAAAATTAAACAATTTTCTTAAGAAATTGTTTTGGTTTCAGGGGGATTTGATGGTACAAGTAATGTTTTAGCAGGAAAGATGTATAACATCCCAGTAAAAGGCACTCATGCTCACGCTTACATTACATCCTTCAGCAATTTCAACGACTTACAAACCAGAGTAAGTATTTTAATTGAGTTCCATAAACTGAGACCATACATAGGAACAACCATTATTATTTATATTGAAAATATTGTCACCATTTTAAACAATTATTCCTCTTGTGAATTCCTACTACAGAAGAAACGGAACATAATGCCATCGGTATGAAAATTACAGATTCTCTTACTCGCCTTTAGGTCCTCACTTTCTCATACTCTTTTTTTTTCACTTTTAAAACCATCACAGTCTGCTTGAGTATTACCATACTGAGACAACAATCTCATTTATAAATGAAACAGTTACTCAAATTGTATATAGTAGTTGCTTTTCTGGCTGCTGACATGCTTCATTCACTCAAAATTTCATTATCACTTATAATCAGAGTGTTTGCACACTTTATTTTTTTAAATCAAGAACAAATTATAATTTAGACATTTCTTTCCGTGTGCGGCCTGTTTCTGGACAACATCACTAGGGGCGAGATGAGAATCTAAAGGTTGGAGACCTTTTTGCTCATCCATATATTCCTTCATGTTCAATAAAAATACCAATGTTTTTGAATTAATGTTTAATAGTGAAGAAAGTGAATAAATTTTAAAATTTGCACTTTGAAAATAGATGTTGGTCGACCGGAACACGGGCGAAGAACGAGACCTTCTTCAGTTGGCGACAAAATGGAGAGTTCAACTCTCTGAGCTTCTTGATATAATGCCAGACGAAGTGTCAGATGGTGAACTGGCAGCACTCATATCGTTCGCTATTGCTTTTCCCGATGGTTTTATTGCTCTGGTTGATACTTATGATGTTAAAAGGTAATTATGTTCTTTATTGGAGTGTAATGCTTTTCTGACACATTGACTGCAGGCGTCTCTCGTTTGAAAATTATTCCTGGTGATAGATGTACATTTTTCAACTTATTAATTTTTTTTTCACTTCTGAATATTTATTTGTAAAGTAAATCAAACAAAGCCAGTATGAGCGTTATTCAGAATTTTTACACGGTTCTAAAATGAAAGATTACTGATTATTTTATGAGTCAGATCCTCCAAGGGTCACCCATCAACAGTGTTCTTGATATATGAAACTGCGGCCAACTTTCTTAATCGTATTTTTTATTACGTTTTTAGAGTCAGAGGGCTGGAGTTGGAGTTTGGAACATCCAGCCTTAGCCTCTCCAGACCTATTGTTGATGAAGTATGAAACGACCTTTACATATGATAGAATAGATTTGAGACTAGTTAAAACCAAAAATTTATTCTAACAATTTCAAATCTGGAAAAGTCAAAAACTGTCTAATCTAAATGTTAGCATATAGCAAACAGTTATTCAGATATCGTGAGATGCGGTCGGGTGTGATGTAGGTTTCAGAAAAACATTTTCTTTATCTTGCCAACGTTTCGATCTTTTATTGAGATCATCTTCAGGGCTCAAAGTGTTTGTCTTCTGTGTAATTGTGCCATCCTTGCGTGTCATGTTGAGAGTGCCCTCAAATAAATATAGCAAACATTTGAACATTAAATGGAAGTGCTGTACAGGCAGAATAATAAAAATAAAATAGTAATACAAAAAGCCTGCAGTCAGTGTGTTAACTGAAGGACAAATTTATTAGAAATTTAAAGAAAATTCACTTTCTATTTTAATAAATTTTATTATTATTAAAGTTATATTAGTGACTAATTTTCAGTGACATAAGTTATAGATTTTTTAATATTTTGTTTTTAACAATATTAATGTTAGTTTCAATTGTCATTATTCATTTTGTTTGTTTTTAACCATTAATTCATATTTGAAAGTATTACAATCAATGCACATATAAAGTTGTTGTTAAAATTTTAAAGTAGCTGATTTGATTTGAGGTGTAGTGTGATATCTTACAGGAGTGGCCTAATTAACTTCTGTAGTGTCGCTATGGCGTTGAATGATTTAGGCTACCGTGCGATTGGAATTCGTATTGACAGCGGTGACCTTGCATACCTTTCGAATAAAGCAAGAGAAGTTTTCATAAAAATTTCTCATCAGTAAGTTAGTACCATTAACGATTTGCTATGGCGAATTTAATAAACGTTTATTGTTCATCTAGATATTATTTATCATGGTTTGCTGATTTACAAATTATGGCATCCAACGATATAAATGAAGACACCATATTGAGTTTGAATGATCAAAACCATAAAATTGATTGTTTTGCAATCGGTACACATTTAGGTTAGCAAAATAAAGGAATTGATTTTTTTTTTTTTTTAATTAAATAATAACTTTTAATAATATTATTCTTTTAGTTACCTGCCAACGTCAACCTGCACTTGGATGTGTATATAAATTGGTTGAAATTAACGGAATACCTAGAATTAAACTAAGTCAGGATGTTGCTAAAGTAACAATGCCAGGAAGAAAAGATGCTTACAGGCTTTACGGCACTGATGGTAATTTCTTATAAATGTAGAAGTATTAAATAATAATACTTTGTTTTTAGGTCATGCACTGATTGACCTTCTTCAAAGGTCTGTTGAGAGTCCTCCAGAGGTTGGTGTCAGAGTGTTGTGCAGACATCCGTTTCAGGAGTCAAAGAGAGCTTATGTCATACCAACACGTGTCGAACCTCTGTACAAAGTGCGTACTATACTGTTTTTTCTGTGTTAGCGAAACTTTTCAAAACTGTTCAAATTGTAGGAATACTGGTCCAACGGAAAGATCAGGACTCCTCTTCCGACCCTTGGTGAAGTGCGACAGCGTGTCCAAACCTCGTTACAAACTCTAAGGCAGGATCACAAGAGAAATTTGAATCCAACTCCTTATAAGGTACAGGTAAATAAGTAGAAAATTTGATCAAAATGGCATTCTATTGGTTGTATGGAATGAAAGAAAATACATTTTCAATTAAATTTTTTTTAAACTATTAAGAGCAAGTAAATAAAATAGATTGCTGATGGGTTGATAACACTGCCTACTATAGTAACCTATTGGGTTACTTTATAATATTGGGTGTGTTCATGAGATTTTTCAAATTTCAACTTTCAACCTTATAAAGGCGATCCTTTATTACTTGCTAGCCCTGTTAGCTCTAGGGTGGGAAAAGCCCTATTAAAAGAGATTGTTAAGAAAGGGGTAGTTGATCCCAAAAGTCAGTCTAGAATAAACTGCAACACATACAACATGGAAGCAGATAACTTCATTTGAGGCATTGGTTGCTATATGAGTGAACTTGGCATAGAGCGGCGGATGCGTCAAAATTTGTGGAATTTATGGTGATACAGTAATAACTGAATGTGTGTGTATGTGTGTGTGTCAACAGTGGTTCCGAAGTTTTCGTAATGGAGAGAGACGAATCAAAGACCAGCCCCTTTGTGGAAGACCTAACATGCTTAAAAGTGACAATTTATTAGTGGCATTGGAGGATGAGGACAAATTAACTGCAGCAGGGCTATCAGAGAGATTTCAGGTACAACGCAGAACAATAAAAAGAAGAATTCAATCTCTGGGTTACATTGTGAAACTTGATTCATGGGCTCCCCATGAATTGTTCCTCAAGAGAAAGGAAGACTCCATGGCTTGTTGCATTTCACAATTGACTAGGAATAAATAGGAAGGATTTATTTCACTATTGGGGAAGAGATGTGTCCTTTACTACAATTTTAAATGCCGAAGGACGTTTACAAGAAGAAAAAACGCTGCCATCGGCGTCAAGAGCAGGATTGCACCCTCATAAGGTCCTATCATCTGTTTGGTGGGATATTCTATATACTAAACCCTTACGACAGAGATTCACTAAGTGCATCTAGAGTATCTTTTGGTGCGGTATTAAAGGAAAAATATTCAGCTCTGGTGAATAGACACGTCATGTTTCACCATGGCCACGCCAGGCCTCACACAGTTGCACTCATTCAGAGTAAAATCACCAAGTTAGGCTGGCAACAGCTTTCCCACCCTCTATTTTTTCCAAACTTGGCCCCTTCAGATTTTTACTTGTTCCACCCCTTAGACAACCTCTTAAAAGGTAGGTAATTTTTGAACATAAACGCTCTGAAAATCGGACTTATCTTCTCATCTGTTGTCAGACTTACAAAAATATATTTCTGCTACTAGAGCACTGGCAATATGTTAACAACAGATTATGTTTTGGACTAAAAATAATTCTTGAACTTCACATTTTATCCAAAATCTTTGCATATCACCTTCTTAAAATACTAATTTCCTCAATTATACTGTTCAGCAGGCAAGAGTAAGTTAAAATGTATCCTCCTTCAGTCCTATTTTGGGTTGATGATTTAAAGTGAGAATTGGCACCAATTTTTCACCCATCATGCCAGTCAAAGTTGGTGTTAGACAGGGAAGTATACTCAGTCCAATCCTCTACACCATCTACACTGCTGACATACCTATACATCCTATACCCAACTCACAACCTAGACAGATGACACCGCATTCCTATTTACATACTTCAATCCCATGCTAGCTGCAGAAGCAAACCAACAACATTTGAACCTCATTACCAACTGGTGCACGTGGTGCGAATAAAGTTGAACGTGCAAAAAAGCCAATAAGTAATGTTTATGTTCAAACGTCAGACCTGCCCACCAGCAAGGTCCATTCAACAAAGTCCACTAACTACTTTAAGCTTTACTTTGCTAGCAGACTTACATGAAACCCACATACAAGATTAAAAATGCAAGAACTTTTAATTTAACAAAAGATATGGCCTACTCAGACACCTTCTGGGTCCAAAATCAACATTAAGTACAAACTAGCCGGTTACAAAACACTGATCAGACCGAGTTGAACTGTGGGGTCTTGACTCCATTCCTATCAATCCAAAATTCTCCACCATATTTTCAATGCTCCCATTTGTGAAGGATCTGATCCGAAAATGCTTCCTCAATTTCTACTCTAAACTATTCCTCAACCCTAACCAACTAGTCCGAATTCTTTCCTCAATGTGCCAGCCTTATAATCCTCCAAACTATGTAAAAAGGCATGGCTTCGTGACCTATCTTCACCCTCCCAACTAAATAAAAGAGTCTCCCAGCACTGGCTGGTTTCTCTCCCCACTGCCTCCTATTCTGAGAGATCTGTCAGATTTTTATCTTATTATCTACACTCTTGCTCAATGTATATTTTATTTTGTACAGATAGCAATAAATAAAATTGAAAAAAAAATATTTTGAAAGTTTGACTTTTTCTGAAAACCAAAACTAAAAAATACCTATGCACACCAAATAATCAAGTTTCTTACCACGTTTGTATTTAAATGTTTATATGGAGTTGAACACAGGTGTTTCTCATTTTTTCTTCTTTTTTTTCAGGTTGCCGTGAGTGATGACTTGTACTCATTCATTCACGACCTTTGGCTTCAGAACGCACCGATAGGAGAACTTTCCTGAAGATAGGAGACAAGCACTGAGTATCTCCAGTGCTCTAACTCGTGTTTTAAACAACATTTGATCTATGGCCTGTCAATCTGATTCAGAGGCTCTTTGAATAAGAAAGAAGGCGTGTGCTGATTTTGTAGTATCGTATTTTATTTACTGTTTTATTGTATACTGTGCAATTCCAGTGGTACAGGATGTGCTGATTTATGGTGAAGGTTCTAAGTTTTGTTGGCTCCCACAGTCATAAATGTTAGTGTCTAAGAAAATGACAATACTATTTTTGTAGAGACTATTTGTTTAACAATACCACTCACCATTTATTTTATTTTAAATTTTTTAACACTAATCATGCACTTACTAGATCAACGGAGAAATGTTGTAGACAGTTAGAGAATCTGGGAAAAAAAACGAATAAGACAATGTGTTCACCATAATATGTAATATAATAAGAAAAAATGAATAGCTTTTGTGAAGCACCTATCAACACATTGCTTTTAACCATGTATACATTTAATGTTTGCCATGTACAACTTTTTATACAACTGTTAGTAATTTTTTTTTAAATATTACTATTATTATGAGTTAAAAAATATATGTACATTATTATGTTATTACTTTTATCATCACATCATTCACATTTGTTAAAAAAAGACTTTTCAATTTTTTTGTGTAAACATTTGAATTAAAGATAAATGTTTTAACATTCAAGTGAAGGGATTTTAAAAATCACAACATGTTTATAAATATTTTTGTTTATTATGTATGAAGTTGCTGAATGTATACAAATCGCATATTTTGTATACTTGTGAGCTACTGAAATTTCTATTTCTTCCTTGATAAGTTACATTTTACAGATGGCAGTACTGTTTTTAAGTATGAATCATTGAATTGACAGCCTGAACATGCTATTTTTTGTTGTCGACATGTTGACATGCAAGGCTAAAATGATCTATGCAATAAAACAATTAACTATTAATAAAACTAATAATTTATTAACAAATATGTATTACCAATCTTTATGACCATCCTAATGTTGTATCCTGTATGACCATAATTCCATAGTACAACTATACAATAAATTTATATATATCTTAAACTAAGAAAAAGGAAACTCCTTAGAATAAATATTTTTATAGAATTCTGACATTTTTTTAATAAAAAAATCCAATTCATTGTTCTGATTCATTAGTAAGTTAATTATAATGTATTAGAAATTAATGCAGTGCCTCTGAATTTTTATATAGAAGATTAAATATTTGTAGATATTTAACTATGTATATTTGTGCTGCTTGCAATTTTATTTTTATAGTTTTATATTACATGGAATATAAAAGACGATATACGATAGGTTTCAACTATTGTAGCAATCGGCTCAATTCTTAAAAAAAAAAAAAAACTATTTGAATTTAGAATTAATATACATTTGGTTTACTTTTAGTTTTATTTATATTTGTGATTTTATGTCACCGTGCCATTTACAATTAAGTTACCAAATTTTTTTTTATCAAAAACTGATCTGTTGTGTTAATTATTGTTGAGTGAGACAAGATGAAATATTTAACAAAATCATTCCTTTATAATGTTCTGAAAATAGTTCTGAAATTGTGATGTAAATAAAATATTTTTTTTGTTTGTTTATCTTTTGGGATATGTAGATGTTATTGTCATGTAAACTGCACAAATAAACTAAAAAGTTCTCTGTTTATTTTTTTACACTTGCCATATTTATCAGCCTGTTTCCAATTATTTGTGTGTTTCCAATGTGGCTAATTGTCGGAGGACAGGTTGAAAAGGGAAAAGGCCACGCTGACAAAACTACGCGTAAATTATACAGTTATGATTCACGAGCATCTTCTGACCAGAAAGCGACAGCTTAGATGCTTGTTATGCAAAAATAAAGTAACGTTTGAGCACATTTTCTATTGTAGAAGGCATGATGTCTATATATATATTTTGATATATCGTCAGATTGGCGTGTAGCCTTAGGGCACAAATCTCTGTTCTGGTACATCAGGGTTATAGGGTTCTATATGATAGTTCAAGTGGTTAGAGCAGTGCCATATTGAGCCGAAGATCATGAGTTTGAATACCGCTCATGGCACTAGCGTTTTCATCTCAACCAAAAACTAGATGTATTAGTTGGGGTGTAATATACTGCACCTTACAGGCATTGCATAGCCTATTCTGTGCCTATGGCACACCGGTAAGTCCTATTTCATCAAGGGACTTGATTTGTAGGTCCAGTTTCAGTGGTTGAATTTCTTCTTCAGTCATATTGTACATCCCAAAACACTTCCTCCTGCAGGCAAGTGTAGCACCATAGTTTGTTAATGGTGTGTTGGTGCCTCCTCTGCTTTGCAGAATCTGCATGTGCTGTCTTGGATTATACCATTCTTCTTTAAACGTTCATTTAGTTTGCAGTGTACTGTTAAGAATCTTGTTAGGATTTGCACTTTTTCCTGCTTCCTTTGATACATTCTGTCATTTCTTTCCTTCTGAAATTTATTAAGAGGTTATGACAAGCCATTTCGTAAAGGCTGCCAAAGCGACATAAAATCAATAAGGCAGAGTTCCAACGATTGAGGAGGCAGACGAGAGGACGGCGGCAGGCCTAAGGTACAGCCACGCTGGATTTGGAGTTACTCGGTCGCTTGCAACTTTAGAAAGAAGATTAAGTAAAAATAAAAGTATGACGTTATCAAGACCAAAAAACTGCTAGTGAAAAATTCTAGTGGAGTGGTGTTCACTCATCAAGGTTCATTACACTATACTATACAACTTGTCCAGTGAAAAGGAAACCAAAAAAATAACTTTACACTTAATTACATTCTATCATAGGAAAATATTCCCTTTTCCTTACTAAATTAGTTGTAACCATTTATAAGATATATTCGATTCATTAATTTGTTATTAATATAAGAAGTTTTTATGTTTAACAGGTACAGACTTATTATTTTATTTTATTTTATTTTTCCATTGATCCTTCATTTTATTTTTATACTTCTTTCAAGGTACTCAATGAGAGTGTGGGTTCCTCTATGCCACAGAAGGATTCGGGTCCTATCAGCAGTATAGCAACCCATTTTCTTCCAACGGTGTCCACTTTCTCGTTGCCTTCTACTGCCATATATCCTGGGACCTAGCAGAGGCTCTCTTTGTTTTGCATACCTAATATGTTTGGTTTTGAAGTTCAACACCATCTTTAAACTAATGATGTTTGAGCATAGTGCTTTGATGGCTGCTTGGACATGATAGCTATGCCCTTGTTTCTGTACCCTTTAGTTAAGTTGAATTGGTAGATTTGATTGTGTGGACTTCAACTTGGAAGATAATGTGGTATTTTCCCACGGGTTCTGAGTATTTGGTTTCGAATACTCTTACACCTGTACCTTCTTGTGTTCTAGATCCATCTATGCCCCAAAAGATGGTGAATCAAAAACCTAAGTAAAAAGAAAATTAATTGGAATAATTAATCTGGTCAATCATGACCACTAGGCAAATATGGATCAGTAAATAAAGTTTCTGTACAAATAAATTTGTAATTAATTATTCAAATTTTCATAATGCCCAAGTGAAGCCAGGGAGAAAAGGCACATTTGAGTTTTAAGAAAAGGCGGTTTTTTCATATTTTAGTTGAAATTAGATTTCAGTAAGGGAAGAGTTGAACGTGTGTTGGAATCGATAGTTGGAAACTGTAACGCTGCCTGGATTCGATTGGAATTTGGAAGGGAAGCCGACAGGACTCAGAAGAGGCCGACACCCCAATTTATGTTGTGTTGTTTCTGTTTTCATTTTTTCGTTTAACAAAACGAACCGAGCCGAATCGCCTAAACCGGCTTTTTAACAGTTTTTCAGTGAAAAAATCGCCTTTTTTTACTCACGCCGGTCGCTAAACGATTTCAAAGCCGCATTTGCCTTTCAAGACCCTAGAACTTACAAGTGCACTTATCAGGTATTTGTTTGTATTTATATAGAAATATGCTTAGAAACATTACAATTTCAAACCATTTCTGCGTTTACTATCTCTTCTATAATATTGAGGTGTTTATTTAAATCTATGACATCTCTTTGAAGAACAAATTTGAAGTTAATATGGAAAAATGGTTCTTTTTGGTTACCTATATTTCTAAAGTAAACTATGCAACATTGCACTATCACCAACAAGTATATCTAGATTTAAACATATTCTACTTTTTGTTCAGATGTGATGCATGAATGTATTTATTATTCTGACAGATCAGCATAAACATAAATCTTTTTTTTAAACATACAAGTTACATGAGTATATGAAATTGTTTACACCAAAACGCTTCTTTCATTATTTTGTTAATATCTATTTTTCCTTAATTTTCTTTTTCCTTTTATATAACAGGACCCTTCTGGTTTTACAAGTTATTAAGTTCTGTTATTTACAACTGTATTTTATAGCACAGTTATGTTTTAAATCACAGATAGTTCTTATAGTTCACTGCACGGTTAAAATTTGAAATTAAAACAAATTAGATTAAGAATAATAATAACATAATAATATAATAACGGTTGTAGGTTGAGATGGAGAGTTGGTGTTCGAGAGGATCGAAGTCACGATAGCTCAAGTGGTAGAGTAGCGGCGTGTTAAGGTCGTGGGTTCGAATCCCACTCGTGACACTGACTTTTTTATCTCAATCAAGACTTTACATAGAAAGAATAATTAATTGAAAGAAGTAACTTGGTCAATTGACCACTAAAACGTAAATGGATTAATAATAATAGATATCATGTGTAGTATTTAGTGACCGTTAATTAATGATTGGTCCTGAAGATGATCATAAAGATCGAGACACGATAAAGAAAATGTTTTTCTAAACCTACATCACACCAGACCGCATCTCATGATCTTCAAATAATCATAGATATCATGATTTATCCTGAAGTAGGCAAGGCTTCAGCCTACGAGAAATTAAGTGTTTTGAACCATTCACCACCTCCAAATTTTGGTGGAATTTATTTTAATTATTTCCTAATTAAGTCGAGGACAGTGGGGATCTGTAGTTCTCGATGGAGTTGTTCATTACTGATCAACTAGGGTGCATCAATAGACTTTCTTGAAATTTTGTTTCACAATACCTTAATTTTTATTAATAGAAGAAGGAGCTGCTGTTCCTCATATTTCGCCGGCATATGGCATTAGAGGATGTAGTTGTGACGGGTAGACTAAAATGCAAAATTTGGTTTAATGATGTAGATTATCAACCAGCTAACTCAATGCTCTCAATTATCGGGTTTGTGGTCAAGATAAACAGCAAGGTTTTGTTTTATTGCCAAGCTTTTGACTGTATAGTTAATCATTCTCAAGGTTTAAAATTTGGTTTTTAGTTTGGATCTTCTATTTAAAATTGAATAGAGTTGAGCAAGTTTTCAAAATCCTCTGACTTTTCTTCTTATGTGCTTCTCCCAGGAGAGTCTGTGATCAAGGTGCACTCCAAGGTATCCTACCATCGGAACCTTGTTATTACAGGGTATTTGGAGGAGTAAAAATTGTTGCTTCATTTTTAGCAGACACAGCACTTTTTGTAATTTTCAACTTAGGTACTTTTGTACGTTGTCAAGCGCCTTCTGAACAATGTTACAGGCCTCACCAATATTTGAATGACTAGCATAAATACCATGAGTATCACTGGCAAAAGAGGCAATTTTGGTGTTTGGACTATTTGGAAGGATCTATGGTTTAGGAAGGAGAAGAGGATTTCAAGATAATACTTTGGAAGGCCAAATTTTTTTAGTTTAAATTTTAACCAGGTGCCAGACTCTATCAAACACCTTCTCCAAATCTAGAAAGACACCAGCCATGTTCTTTTTTCTCAAACCCTTTGAGGCTGAATGTTAAGGAGAGAATCCAAATTGGTGATGAGGTATATTGTCTTTTATCAGCGGTTCTAACTTATTTTAATATAAATATTAAAATATACTTTTAAATTTAATATACTTCTCAAATAATTTGCCCAAAACCAGGAGAAGGCAATTTTTTTTCATAGAATTCTCATCGATCAGTTTGATTACTTTCCCAAGTGGCAAAGGTTGTATTTTTTCCACTAATTTGTTTAAGTTCCAAAAGATTTTCTCCTGCAGAATGTAGCTTGCAGTCAAATCAGGTCCTCTTTTGTTACTTTGCAGAATTGATCAGTGTCCATTGACTCGTCACAAATATATTTCAGATTTCTTCTCCAGGGGAATGTAGATTTGCAGATTAGAGTCAGTCAATCTCTTTAGTACACCACAACCAATATCGGCCTATTGTACATTTCGATTGCCTAGAGCTTATCATTAAGTTTTAAGGCTTTTTATCAGATTGTAAACCTTTTTCAAGGACTCTCGTGTGTATCTTTCTAGCCTGGGTTTTTCTTCTACCTAGGAGGTTTTTCTTCTATAGGAATCATATCTTGAATAAGCCTAAGCACCAACAAAGGACAAGTTCACTTCCTATTCTTATCCCTGGCAATATATGTACAGGATTGTTTCTGTCCCTTACATATACCTCTGGAATCTGCAATAGTTAGCAGTCCAACTATTATTCTAGTACTAACTCATCCTAGATTTAGTAGTTCTATCGTTAGTCTCTGCGATGGCCATTTGGTGAACTTTTTCGCATGCCTCTAACCTGGCTACATTCCCATTGAACTTATTACAGGATTTGTTTTTAATCTATTATGTGATGGATCCACATTTTTGGTAGT